GAAGCCCAGCCATTTGCTAACCTCAGTGTCATCCTGGGTCTCCCAGGCCTGGACTGCATCCCTAGCAGCGCATACTGGACCAGGCTTGGAATATTACAGGTTACTGTGTCCTGTCACAAACCGTTCCTGTGATGATATGGAAACTTTCGATTTTGGGGTGGAGGGAGAAGAAAAGTACATTTTCATTCCAACATCTGGGAAATTAAGGAAAACGTGACACAGATAAAGTTTCCTATGGGCTCTCCTTGCTGGTCTCTTGATTTTCACCATGGCTCAGCTCTCCCACAGCCTGTTGAATGCTGATGGCACGGCCTGATGAGCAGCTTGCCTCTTTTAGCACTGATCCCCTGTCTCCTCTTTTCTCTCAGCCCATCTGTCCCGTGGAAATACTTGTCTGTGTTTGAATGCTCTGACCTTCCTGCCAAGGGGAGTGCTTCCCAGCACCAGCTGCTTAGTTTAATCAGTATGATATTTTGCCTCTTCCCTATGCTCCTCCTGCCCATGTGTTTGCTGCAAACAGATACAGCTTCTGTTGGGTGTCAGGAAGCCACCCCCTTGGGCTTTGTGGCCAAATCCACCCATAGCAGCACACAGAATGGGGCAGGGTGGCACTTAATTAACAATTGCAATGTCACTAAAAGATGGAGCCAGCCAAGATATTTGCATACACTCATCAGGAAACATCCTCCTGACTCTCATCTTCCACAACAAAGAGCACTGAAAGGTTACACGTAGCCTTCCCTTGTTTAAAACACAAGGTAACTGCTTTCCTCAGCACCACACCTGAAGAGGCACAATTCATGCTCGTGAACATTTGGATGTAGACAGTACAGCCGTTTATCTGTGAGGACACTAGAGACAAACCACGTGAGGGCTCTGTTGCGTCCACTCGTCCTCTCAGCCTGGCCGCAACACATGCCAAAATAGCCCCAAAAATGGAAAAAGAGGAAAATGCAGAGGAATAAAGTGCTGGATGTGTCTGTTGGGCTGAGGGATGGAGGAAAAGAAGGCAAAGAGGGCGTCCTGCAAAATTGTCTCATCTGGCATTCCCAGATTCTCCTGCTCTTGGTAGCTGAGCCTTGGAAGGTAGCAGCAGTGGGAGCGTGGCTGAATATGCCAAAGAGCAGTGCCAGGGTGCTGGGCATCGCCAGGAGAGGAACCTGGGTGAACCTAGTGCCACGACATTGTGGATTGCAGTTGCCCACAAGTGAGTGAGGAGGTCTGGGTCTGGTGGTGTGGGCTGGAACCCATTCCCCTGACACAGCTGCAGAAACAAGCAAGAAATTGTTGCCCTCAAGCTGCAGTCCAAATAAGCATAGTTGGCTGATCATTCAGCTCGTTGACGTTCATAGCTAAATATAAAGACATATTTTTTATGAGAAAATTGTTCCTATTTTTTTTCCTCTGAAGAAAAATACAACAGAAGTAGTCCTAAGTTTTTCAGCTGCACAGATATAATTATGCCACTTAAATTCTCTGATGCAGGGGTGCAGGGAAAGTATGACTGCAGAGATTTAAAGGGTGTTGTTGCTATGGCACTTTCTGAACTGGGATGTTTCTTGGCTTCTGAAATGTTAAACCCTTAAAAAAGCAGCTTATCAGCTGAAGCTTTCTTAAAGGCCCATGAAAGCCCATGACCCAAGCTTCTGCATTAAACCCCAGATCAAGCTGGAAGGAGCTGGTCAGGTTGTAAGATGAACTGTTGGGAAGAGATGATGAGCTTCAGAAAACTGTGGACAGTTTTTTTGCTCTGTCATCCCACCAATTGAGATGTGGAGAAACTGAAGAGCTCAGCAAAGGGCCACTGAAATGGCCATGGCTTTCAGCCTGTGACCTGTGAAGAGAGGCTAAGGGCAGCTGTGCTTGTTCAGCTAGGTGAAGAGGAGATGGGGACGTGAGTTAATGGCAGCCCACAAGGACCTGAAGAAAAGCTGTAAGGTGACACATTCAAACTCTTCTTGGTGGTGCCAGACAACACAAGAGGGAAAAATCTGCAAACTCCTGTTTGGGAGGTTAGGACTAGACATTGGGAAAAGCTTTTTTCTCCTGGAAAGCAGTGCAGCACTGCAAGGGGTGCCCAAAGAGGTCATAAAACCAAACTCCCTTGCACAAAGACAGGGTGCTGTAGTGCTGGGATGTCCTGCTCTGAGCTGGACTTTGGGCTAGAGACCCCAAAATAACCCAGCTCACCACTATTCCTACAATCCCGTGGCATTTTGGGACAGGGAAACAGCCAGCACTGCTCCAGCTGGGATGATGCCCACCTCTGCCCCTGGAGGTGGGGTAGATGCTCTTACCTTTGGGTACATGTCCATGGTTCTCCTCCTCATCCATCTTCAGGATGGCGGGGCTGAGGCAGCCATGTGCCTGGCGCAGCTGGCAAGATGTGTCTGCCTTCCACGAGGGCCACAGGCTGGCAAAGAAGACCTTATACTCGCTGTCTGACAGGGGGCTGCCCGGAGCAGGAGGCACTGGTGGAGCACCAGAGGACATCAGCAAGGCCAGCAGACCTGGGGGAGAAGGCAGGCTGTGTTTAACCCTCCTTAATCGGGGCAAGCAGTGGGTGGAAATGAAAGAGTGACTGGCGGGGTGGCCCACTCCCATTTGCTGGTGCTGAGTGGGGTGCAGGGACGAGCTGGCCTGAGGTCTCCCTCCATCACCACTGCTTGCAGGGCACCAGGCGAACCAGGAGCTCTGGGGCAAAAGGGGGGAAAAAAAAAGAAAAAGCAGGAAAAAAGGGGAAAAAATAAAAAAGTGGGAAAAAAGGAAAAAAAAGAAGAAAGAAAAAAGGAAAAGAAGAAAATAAAAAAGAAGAAAAAAGACTAAAGAAAAAGAAAAAGAAGAGAAAAGAAATGTAAAAGTTGGGGGTGTTTTTGTGGGTTGAGTGGCAGTTGGTTTGGCTTGGTTTGGTTTTGGGGAGGGATTGTTTTGGGTTTTAGTTGTTTGGTTTGTTGGTTTTTTTCCCCATGAAATCCCGGCCTTACCCGCCTGGTAGGCCCCACTGCCCG